CTGACCTCCTAAGCCCCTACCACCTTGTTCACTCCCTCTGCTTGCGGGCTCCAGCCTGCTTCACATACCCTGCCTTGCTCACGCCTTCCACCACTCTGCACCCACCCTATGGAACTCCATCCTGCAGTCCCTCCGTCTCGCCCTCCTCCCTCACCACCTTCAAGACCTACCTCAAGACCCTCCTCTTCGTCTGTGCTTTTGATCTCCCTGCTTCCCCCCCTGCCCTTCACCCTCCCCCACCCAACCCCCAGCTCGGGTCCATAACTCTGTCTGTCCAGCACCTTGAAAGGGGTTTTACAAATGTAATTTTGTTGTTGTTGCTACTATCCTCCTCACTGTTAACTACTTTTCCTAGCACAGTTATAGCAGTGCTGACCCAGGCTCATTCACCACTTCAAGAACCCTGGATGAAGTCTAAGATTCAGACAAGACTAAGCAGTTTTAAATCTCCTTTATCCCCCAAAATGCTGTTCACAGAATGGTATTCAGTTATTGCACTGTTGGTCTCTACAGCCACTCCCTGCAGTTTGGGAGTGGTCTGTTCAATGTGGTGGGTAGCAGTGCTGGCATTGCCACCTGGTGTTGTCCAGCAGTACTACAGCCTGAGGTAAAGAGGTGATCAGAGAGACATCAAACCTAATAATAAAAAATAACGTGTGGAGGACATCTCACAGCACTGGACACGATTTACTGTAATTGAAGTGACTGTGCATTTGTAATCGAACCTGAATAAAACACAAGTGTTTCAAAGACCATGGCCCAGATATATGAGCTAATGTCAAATTAGGGATTTTTTTAACTTCATTTATATTCACAATAATTCAACTCTGCACTTTGCCTAATAATAATCCTTGCATTGATATAGCACCTTATCACGTCTTCGGGACATCGCAAAGCACTTCACAGAATATACCGTAAAGTAAATTGACTATATTTTATGGGCGAAACGGAACAGCCAATTTTGCACATCAGTGTTGCACATACAGTTGTGGACTGAGTCACCAAATTATTGTGATTTTCACCCCCGGAAAAGCTATCTGCCAATCGACTAACAACTGGGTTCCTACTTACTGCGAGGTAAACAGAGGCATGTGGAGTAAGGAAACTTGCCCAATGTTTTGCCCTGTCCGGGAATCAAACCCAGGTCCTCTCGCTTGTGAGAATGTCTCGTTCTTTTTATGAAACTCTCCAGTTCCTTGGTGCTGCGCAATAGCATACTGTGTGCTGCAAATTCCTGATTAGTTGTTGTTCTGATCCAGATTTTTTAGGGTATTTTAGAAAAAAAATTCAAATCTCTTTCTAATGTTGAAGGATTGCAAACATTTATAAATCTTTTCAGGGAGGTTTACAATAAATGTCAGTCTGCAGCACTCCCTGCTCATTGAACAGGTGATTTCCTCTTTGCTTTGCTGAACAGAAATTTTAGCCTTCATTTAAAAATTTTGATTTTTCCAACGTAAAAGTATAACAACAGACACAGCTTGAAAATCAAAGGGAGTTTCTGCCAGTGTCCTGGCCAACAATTCTTCACATAAATTGGTCATTCACTTAATTGCTGTTAAGGAGATGCTGCTGTGCGCAAATTGGCTGCTGTGTTGGACTAGAAATGCAGTCACTACACATGACAGTACATAACTGTGAAACGCTTTGAGACATTTCAACCTATAAGCTTCTCCATACAGGCGGAGCGGTGATCAATGCTCAGGTGCACATGTGCTGCCCTCAGGTGGCGGTGTTGGGGCACTGCAGTTGGCACTGTCTTGATGATGCCCTCTGTACGTGTCTCACGTTGGCTGCCTGAGGGAATCAGTCCTGTGCCGCATGATGTTTGTGCAATGCTTTTTTTAAAAAAGCTCAAAAGGTTTATTTTTGCCAATTTATTCCCATTTTTCTATTTTGCTCCTCTCCTTAAGGTACTGACTTCAGTAACCTGCCATATTTGGTACAATCCAACTTATCCTGCTGCATATTTACCACCAGTGGGCTCTATTGCTTGTAATTTGTGCCAATTGAGCCTTTCCCTACTGAATTAAACATTGTTCCATTTTCCCTGAATGAGGGGAGTGATTCTCTGGAGTGGAATACTCAATGTGGCCTTGTAGTTCAACTGTCCAGAGACCATTATAAATTTCCTGTCCTCCATTTTCCTGTAGTTTCTCCCCACACCCTTTCTCTTGGTGGCTGACTTGTGCTGTAGGATGGGCCACAAGGGCCTGAGCATTCACAGCCTCACATACCTGTCAGGTAGTGTAACTATCTTAAAGTGCTTCACAAAATGATAATAATTAGAGGGCTGTTATGTAGGCGAGCACAGCAGCTAATCTGTGACAAGAGTAGGACCAGCCAAATAATCAGAATTGTTTGGATGAAGAAAACAAACCCAGAAGAGAAACGTCTTGTTTTAACTTCCAGCTGAATCACAAAAATAATAAAACCCTGGTTTAAAGACTCATTTGAAAAAAGCATAATAATCTGGATAGATTAAAAATATGTGCATTTAATATAGATGCTATTCTCAGTAAAACGTCTCAAAACTTAATAAGCTATTTTTTCTTAAATCTCTGCTTAAGACCTCATTGATCGTGCCTACGGTCATCTCTCTTAACCCCCCNATTCCTCTCTCTCGCTTTCACAGACATAATCATCTCCCTGTCCACTGGTACTGTTCCCACCCCATTAAAAATGACTCTCCGCAGCCTCTTCTCTTACCTCAACCTTCACGGCATTGGCCTTGCCTGGCTCAGATCGTACCTCTCACACCGCCTCCACTTCATCACCACAAACAGTTTCTCCTCTAGCCCCTGCACCATCTTGTGCGGTGTTCCTCAAGGCTCTATCCTTGGTCATCATCCGCAGTCACGGGGTCAACTTCCACATGTATGTGGATGACACCCAACTCTACCTCTCTGCCTCCACCCTTGATTGCAGGACCACTGCTGTGCTGATTGAATGTCTGTCAGACATCAAGTCCTGGATGAGAGCTAACTTTATTCAGTTGAACGTCAACAAGAGAGATTCTCTTAATTGGCTTCCGTCAATGCCTCCACATCTCAGGCGCTGACAGCATCACCATCCATGTTTGCACACTCCACCTTGCTAAGCCAGTACGGAACCTTGGAAGTTTTGTTTGACCCTCAACTATCCTTTCTACCCCGCATCTGCACCATGACCCGCTCTGCCTTCCCCCACTTCCATTGCCCAGCTCTGCCACTGTCTCACACCACAGCCCAGCGAAACCCTCATACACACTTTCATTACATTGAGGCTTGACTATGCAAATTCATTGCTTGTCGGCCTCCGCAACTCCTCCCTCCATAGGCTGCAGATCATTCAGAACTCTGTAGCCCGTGTCCTCTCCCACACCAGGCTCTGTGACCCTATCAACCCATCCTCATCTGACTCCCCTGGCTTCCCATCGCACAGAGGATACAGTGTTCAAGATCCTGGTCCTTACCATGGTCATGCTCCCCTCTACCTCTGTGACCTCCTAACCCCCTACAACCCTGTTCGCTCCCTCTGCTCAGTGGGCTCCGGCCTGCTTCACGTCCCCTGCCTTGCTCGCCCCACTATTGGCGGGTGGGTCTTCTGCCACTCTTCCTCCACACACTGGAACTCCATCACGGGCAGTCCCTTCACCTTGCCCCCTCCCTTGCCTCCTTCAAGACCCATCTCAAGACCCTCCTCTTCGACCATAATTTTGATCTCCCTGCTTCCTCCCCTCCACTCTCCCCAATCCCAAACCCCATCTTGGGTCCGAAACTCGTCTGTCCAGTGCCTTAGGACGTCCTCCCAACGTGAAAGGCGCAATACAAATGTAATTTTGTTATTGTTGTTGCCCTGGGACACTATCCTGTGTGAAGGGTGCTTTACAAGTGCAAAGTGCAGCTGGAATGAATGTCACTAACTAGTCTCACACCCAACACATCAAGCCTTTAAGTCAATTCTATTTTCCAGTTGCTCAGCATCTGCGGAAAGGGTTTTCCCTGCCAGACTATAAGTTCTCCACCACTTAGCAGATTTATTTCAGGATCTTTGTTCTGACCTTCAAATTGCTGAGTGCTCTTGCCTCACCCGTATCTCTGCAATCTCCTCCTCTCCCAACACAGGCATTTGGTGTCTAGGCTAATAGTCCAATGCAGTGGGGGTGCACTGCCTTGGTGGAGATGCTGTCCTTTCGATGAGACATTAAACCAACGTCTAATACTCGTGTTAAGTGGATGTTAAAGATCCCATAGCACTATCGAACAGAGAAGGGAGTTTCTCCTGATGTCCTGCCCAACAAACCCCAAATAAAATCAGTCAATGATTATTTTTGGGTACATTGCTGTGTTCAAATTGGCTGCTGCGTTCACCTACACATTCAGTCACTACACTTTACAGTAAATCCTGGGAAGCACTTTGAGCTGTTGCGACAACATGACATCAAATGCAAGGATTACTATCGTCTTCTCTCCATTCCTTTGGCCCTCAAGTAAAGCCTTCTCTTCTGTGCAGTGACCCCCCCCCTCGGCTGCTCAGTGACACCCCCCCCCTCGGCTGCTCAGTGACACCCCCCCCCCCCCTCGGCTGCTCAGTGACACCCCCCCCCCCCCTCGGCTGCTCAGTGACACCCCCCCCCCCCTCGGCTGCTCAGTGCTGCCCCCCCCCCCTCGGCTGCTCAGTGACACCCCCCCCCTCGGCTGCTCAGTGACACCCCCCCCCCCCCCTCGGCTGCTCAGTGCTGCCCCCCCCCCCCCCAGGCCTCACTGTGGGAGAACAGCGCTCAAGGGCGGGGCTACACGCGGCGTAAACCAACCGGTGATGATAGAAATTTGTGACGTCACTGCGCTGAGCGAGCGCGGGTCGCGATTGGTCGTCGCGGTCAGTCAGTCCACAGTGGGCGAGTTGAGCGGCTTGTGATTGGTCAGTCAGCGGCGGGTCTGTGATTGGTCAGTCAGCGGCGGGTCTGTGATTGGTCAGTCAGCATTGGGGCGTGTGATTGGTCAGGGTGACTGTCAGTCAATCATCGGCGGCGCCTGTGATTGGTCGGGAAGGCTGTCCCAAGGCTCCGGATACAATGTAGCAGTTGGTGGGGGTTCAGTCAGTGAAGCCGCCGAGTGTCTGATCGCCGCTCCGCTCCCGCTATGCCCGCGCTGTCCTGCGATGTCGCCTGGAAGGAGCTGTCAGAGTGGTTCAAAGCCAACTCCGCGCAACTCAACCTGCGCCACTTGTTCCAGTCCGAGCCCGACCGCTTCAGCAAATTCAGGTCAGTGTTCCAGGCGCCGGGGGAGGCCGGGGGGGGGGGGTGGGGGGAGGAGAGGGTGGGAGGGAGAGGGGGGGGAGAGGGTGTGGGGGGGGGGGAGGGGAGGGGTGGGGGGGAGAGGGGGGGGGGAGAGGGTGTGGGGGAGAGGGTGGGGGGGGAGGCCGGGTGGGGTGGAGGGTGTGAGGGAGAGGGTGTGAGGGTGAGGGTGGGGGGGGAGGCGAGGCGGGGGGGGGGGGAGAGGGTGGGGGGGGGGGAGAGGGTGGGGGCGGATTGGCTTCTCTCACTGTCGCCGCTCCTTCCCGCATCTGCACATTTCTCCTGTTGAGGGGTCAGACGATCAGGTGCTGAAGCCGCGCGGAAACACTGCCCTTACACTTACTTCCTTGAGGGGATCAGAGTCTCATTTCAGTTCCTATCCACAGTCTGTGTGCGTGTGGGGGGGTAACATGTGTGGGTGTGGGGGGGTAACATGTGGGTGTGGGGGTAACATGTGTGGGTGTGGGGGGGGTAATGTGTGGGTGGGGGGGGTAATATGTGGGGGTGGAGGGGGTTGTGGTGGTTCATGTGGAATAGATCGCGATCGGAACGTGGCGGATCGAAAGTATAGCAATCAGATAAAAATGTCGGGGGGTAGAGGGGGAAAGGGGAACATTCAAGGTCACAGCCACTCCAGAGCCAATCCATCCCCCCCCCCTCCTCCCCACACCCCCCACACACCCACCATTAGGATGGCTGCAGTATTTGGAAAATATCTTCAATGAACGCAACGATTATCAAAGCAGAAAAAAAACTCCACATGAATGCAAACCATTGAAGCCGATGAGATCGAGAGAGGCGGATGGTTTGTGGTGAGTGATGGTTTGTGGTGAGTGATGGTGCGGTGGTTATGATGGCATTTGAGCTGTGTTGAGGCTACAGCAGTTCTCTCTCTGGTCGCCCCCCCCCCTGTGGCTGTGACTACGTGCAGCCCCGCACAGGCACGTCAACCCGCACAGCTCAGGGCACAGTCACCTCCTATCAGCAGTGGGGGGGGGGGGGGGGAGGGCACTGATTGTAGGTGACCGAGAATGGAAAGGGTTTTTCGGATATTGCTGTATGATTTGCTGTTATGTTTAAAATAATAATGTGGTCACTCAATCCACGAGTGTTTGTGGGACGCTGCTGTGCACAATTGGCTGCTGGGTTTTGCCCACAAAATACACCGACAATATGCTTTACAGTATATTCTGTGAAGCGCTTTGAGACGTCTCGAAGACGTGATAAGGCACTGTATCAAAGGCAAGGATTACTACTATCCATTTGGCAGGTGGGCAGTTATTTTAATGCTGAACTCAATCACTCTCCCGGGCTGTGGCCGGCGCAACAGTGGAATGTAACAGGTGTCGCAACTCCCTTCCTCTTCCTCATAAATCAGCCTGACATTAGCACAAGTCTCTGTCTCCAAACGTGCTCTAATCTACCATAATAATTATTAGCTCCAATCTGTACTTCACTACCATATTCCAGGGTGCGCTTAATAGTATTAAGACAATAAAATAAATTATAATTAATTTGTTGGCCAGGAGACACTCCCTTCTCTTTCAAATGGTATGTTTAACCATGGAATCTTTAACTGTTTGTGGGACATTACTGTGCACAATTGGCTACCTCGTTTTGCACACAAAATACACAATATATCCTGTGAAGCGTTTTAAGATGTCTCAACAACGTGATAAGACACTATATCAAATGCAAGGATTATTATTATTAAGAACGATTCTCCCCAGATTATGGAAAGACGTAAGGCCTCTAAGGGAGACTTTACTATAAATGAAGACATTTCAGGTTTGAGCTTTGTAATTAGCCCACTAATTACGCTGTATGAATCCAAGTTGTTGTTGTACTAATTGAACCCAAATACTGTAATGTGTTCTCTATCAGTGTAATAACAAGGATTTTGCTGTCTCTCATAAATAGATTTTATATTCTGTCTCTTCCCTTCCTGAGCCATCTGACTCCAGGCCTCAAACGTGTATCAGCTTGGCTCAGTCGCTGACATTCCCACCTCTGAGTCAGAAGGTTATGGGTTGAAGCCCTCTGTTGGGACTTTGAGCTCCTCGCCAAGGCTGACACTCTTTTGCAGTGGTGGGGGAATGCTGTGCTGTCCTCTAGATGAGATGTTAAACCTATGTCCCGTCTACTTGTTCAGTTTTGTTTGCCCAGCCAGTTGTCTGACACGTGCGGAAACCCATCACCATGCTTACAAGTATCTAAACCAAATTGAAAATGCCAATATAATGCCCAGAACATTAAAAAGGGACCGAGCCAAGGTGGACTGGAAAGAAAGATTGGCAGGTAAAACAACTAAAGAGTAGTGGGAAGTCTTCAAGGATGAGATAGCTCGGGGACAGAATAAATTCATTCCCACAAAAGGGAAAAGTAGGGCTTCCAAACCTCCATGGATGACGAAGGTAATTGTATCTAGAATGAAGCAGAAAAAGGAGGCGTATGACAAATGTCAAACCCAAGATACAGAAGACAACCAAATAGAATATAGAAAGTGCAGAAGAGGTTTGAAAAAGGAAGTAAGAGCAAAGGCAAAAAGATTATACGAAAAAAGGTTAGCGGGTAACATGAAAGGGAATTCTAAAATATTTTACAAACATATCAAGAAAAAAAGGATAATCAAAGGTAGGGTGGGACCGATTCATGACCAAGGGGGAAATCTTATTGTGGAGGCAGAGGGTATGGCTGATGTACTAAATGAGTACTTTGCATCTGTCTTCACAAAAGAAGTGGATGCACCAAATGCCCCAGTATCGGAGGAGAGGGTGGAGGAAATGGATAGGATAAGTATAAACAGAGAAGTACTGAAAAGGTTGACTGCGCTGAAGGTAGACAAGTCGCCCGGTCCAGACGGGATGCAGCCGAGGTTACTATGGGAGGCACAGGTACAAATAGTGGAGGGTTTGGTAACAATTTTTCAATTTTCGTTGGACATAGGAGTGGTGCCTGAGGACTGGAGAGTGGCCAATGTGACTCCCTGTACAAAAGGGGAAAGAAGGACAAACCTGGGAACTACAGACCAGTGCCTCACATCAGTAGTGGGGAAACTCCTGGAGACTATAATCCGGGACAGAATAAATCTTCACTTAGAAGAATATGGGTTAATAATAGCCAACATGGATTTGTTAAAGGCAAATCTTGTCTAACAAATCTATTAGAATTTTTCGATGAGGTAACGGAGAGGGTGGATAAAGGTAGTGCAGTTGATGTAGTTTATATGGACTTTCAAAAGGCATTTGACAAAGTGCCACATGAAAGACTTGTAAGAAAGATAGAAGCCCATAGTATAAAAGGGACAGTGGCAGTGGATCCCGAACGGGCCGGGAGACAGAAAGCAGAGAGTTGTGGTGGACAGTTGGAATACTGCGCCCAGTTCTGGGCACCACACTATAGGAAGGATGTTAAGGTATTGGAAAGGGTGTAGAGGAGATTTACGAGGATGGGACCAGGAATGAGGGACCTTGATGATGAGGAAAGGCTGGAGAGGTTAGGATTATTCTCATTGGAGCAGAGCAGGTTACGAGGAGACCTAATAGAGGTCTTCTAAATCATGAGGGGATTTGATAGGTTAGAAAGAGAAAAACTGTTCCCACTGGTGTGTGTGTCGGTGACTCGAGGTCACAGATTCAAAATAGTCTCTAAAAGAAGCCGAGGGGAGAAGAAATTTTTTCACGCAGCGAGTTGTTGGAATCTGGAAGGCATCGCCTGGAAGGGTGGTCGAGGCCGATTCGATAACTACTTTTAAAAATGCGGTGGATGGGTATTTGAGGAGGACGGGTTTGCGGGTTATGGTGAAAGGGCCGGGAGTGGGACTGACATTAATTGCTCTATTCAAAGAGCCGCACAAACTCAATGGGCCGAATGGCCTCTTGTTGTGCTATACGATTCTATGATTTCATGGCTGTTTGTGGGACGTTGCAATTTGGCTGCCATGTTCACCTTTTGGACAGAAATTATGTCGGAGACTCCCATCTCCTCTGTTCCCGAGTCTGATTCCAGCACTGAGATCTGATCTGACTGAGTGTGACGGTGGCTGTAATCACCACAGCCGGCAAATCTCACACCAGATTCTGCTCCCAATGCCTGTGGCTCCTCGTGCCTGGTTACAGCGTCAGATCCCTGTTTGGCCTCGTTATCCCCCCCTCCCCCACCACTCTCTCTGTAATCCTCTGCAGCTCTACATCTCTGCCTGCACTCTCCTCTCTGCTCTGCTGCTCAGGCCCGTAATCCATTCTCAAAGGTCAAAGCTTCACCCACCGCATCCTGGCCTTCACGTACCGCCCCAGCCCCAGCTCTGTAAAAGCAGTCCAGCTCTCACAGCAAGGAGGGAAGGAATTTAGGAGCACAGTGGGTGGGCGGCAGAGAAGATAAAAAGGATGTCTAACCACGTTTTGTTTTGTAACCTGAGTGTTTCCAAATCAACCTGAAAAACTGCTTATTAAAACAAATGTTGTGACATTGCTGTATGATGTCTGTTGAGATACAGCTTTACACTGTTTGTGGTAAAGTAACCACGGGTTCCGTCTGGCACTGCCCGCCCCAGGAACATTATTCTGTTACAAACACATCCTTTTTTTTAATGGAATTGAGATTACACAATGATGTCTCCTTTTAACAGGTCTCCAAATTCACAAGATAATAATAATTAATAACAAGTCTCATTTCATCAACATGTCTCATAGCACTTCACAGTATATACTGTACAATGGAGTGACTATGTATCTTGTAAGGAAACGTGGCAGCCAATTTGCACATTCGCAATGACCACAAACAGCCATGAAGTGAATGACAAATTTTATCTGGGGGGTTGTCAGCCAAGACATTGGGAGAGAGAAACTCCCTTCTCTTTTCCAATACTGCCATGAGATCGTTAACATCACCTAAAATAAATAGAACATCTGTTTAACGTCTCATCTGTAGGACAACATCTCTGACCATAGGGCTCTGGGAATGTCAGTCTGCATTATATGAGCGCCTTGGCACGTCCTCCAGATGTGAAAGGCGCTATATAAATGTAATCTTCTTGTTATGAGCTCAAAATCCCTGTGTGAGACTTGAACCTGCAGCCTTTTGACTCGGGTAAGAGTGCTACCAACTGAGCCAGGCCTCGTCACTCACTATATTGTCGCGTGAGTGGGGAGTATTGTGTAGCCATGTGTCCATGCGGGTGGGGTGGGTCTGCACTGGTACTGTTTGTGTGTAGCTTTGGATGCTGATACAGATTAGGCATTGAGTTTCCCACCAAGAGCTCACTGTTTGTGGAGGTTTACCTCAGGTATTTTGATGAAAGCACTGAGTGTATGCGCATGTGCAGAAGTGTCTTCTTTATTACCTTTCAGGAGAAAGCAGGAGGGGCCGGGTCACTCCGCCCTTCAGTGTTGCGTGACCGTGGCACACAGTGGCAGGAATTTAACAATCAGGAACTAGCTGTCAGTATCTCATCACCGCGAGTAACTATCCACAGGCCTGAGTTACAGGGTGTCAGTCAGTGCCACTCACCCACTCTCAGCCATTAATATACGGATTGATGAAAACTCAGCTCTGCGCTACTCTCGCTCTGCGCTACTTTCTCCCTCACTCTGTGCCTCTCTGCTTGCAGCCTGATCCTGAAGACAGAGGATGGAGACATCCTACTGGATTATTCCAAGAACCTGGTCACTAAGGACGTGATGCATATGCTGGTGGAGATGGTCAGTCACTGCTCAGCTCCTGGTCACTCACTAACACAGCCAGTCACTCACTCGCTAACCTCCCCCACTCACATACACAACACCCCCAACCCGCTCACACCCACCCAGCACCCCACACACACCACACTCACACAGCACCCCCTCAAACACACCATCCCCACCCACCCCCACAGCCGCTGAGCTCTGGATGTTCTGACACTTGTTGCTGTGGTTTGTTAAAGGCCAAGGCCCGGGGTGTGGAGAAAGCCAGAAACGCCATGTTCAGTGGGGAGAAGATCAACTTCACAGAGGTGAGAGGTGTAGAGCGAGCCTGACCCTAACCCTCACCCTACTCTCCACTGGGTGGGGGGGGGGGGATCTCATTCAGAGGGATTGGGACTCTTCCTGTGGGAATCTCAGTCCTGTGGGTGTGTGTGTGAGTGAATCTGGTGTAAGATGAGCTGGTGTGAGCTGCTGGTGTGTGAGGAGCAGGGCTGCTGGTATCAGTTACCTACTTCCTGTGGCCGATTGTGGAGGAAATGTGTGGGCCCCAGGGCAGCCCTCAGCTGGGGATGAGGGGGGGTAAGGAGGGAGCTGGGTGTGGATAGGAATGTAACTGATGAGCATTTGCCTCCCACAGAATCGAGCCGTGCTGCACATTGCACTGAGGAATCGCTCCAACAAACCCATCATGTTTGAAGGGAAGGATGTGACCCCCGAGGTCAACAAAGTCCTGGACAAGATGAAAGCTTTCTGTGAGGTCAGGCCTGGAGTATTCGCTTCCCCTCACCACCCCCCCCAACATACACACTGGTCACTCCAACCACCCTCAACCCCCTCGCGCTCGTGCCCTTGTCCCACAGCCCCTGCTCCCACCCCCTGCTGCCTGCGCTCCCCAAGCCCCCGTCCTCTGTGGTAACGGGGTCTGTGTGTTGTTTGCAGAGGGTCCGGGGCGGTGAATGGAAAGGATTCACTGGCAAAACCATCACTGACGTGGTCAACATAGGCATCGGCGGCTCCGACCTGGTACAGACACCCGTCTCCACACCCACTCTCTATCTATCTCTCATAAGCTGTCTCTCTCACACACAGTCTCTCTCTATTTCACACACACTGTCTCTCTATCTCACACACACTATCTCTCACAATCTTTCTCTCACGCACACACTCTCTCTCTCAAATCCTCTCTCTTTCTGTGCCCAGGGACCACTGATGGTGACGGAAGCGCTGAAGCCTTACTCTAAGGGTGGGCCGCGGGCCTGGTTTGTGTCTAACATTGATGGGACACACATGGCCAAGACGCTGGCCGAGCTGCACCCCGAGACCACCCTCTTCATCATCGCCTCCAAGGTGGGGCCACACCTCGACAGCCCAGACTGGCTGAGGGTCGGGAAGAGGGAGGGAGTCAGACTTGGTGGGGTGGAGGAGGATCAGGGTGAAGATGGGTGGGTATCCGGGGAGGGGAGGGAGAGAAGGGGTTGGTGATGGCATATTCTGACTGACTTTTCTCTCTCAGACGTTCACCACTCAGGAGACCATCACCAACGCTGAGTCGGCCAAGGAATGGTTCCTGGTGACTGCGAAGGATGTGAGTGAGGTTCCCTCTATGCCGGGGGCAGCTACAGCTACAAAGCTCATCGTTTTGTGTGGGGTGGGGGGCACAATGCACGGACTGTGAGACTCGCTGGCAGTAGCCAGTGTTGGGAGTAGGGGGATTTGTTATGCCGGTAAATCTGAAGCCAGGGGGGAGGGGAGGAGCCAGCGATGGAATCAGCTGGAGAGGGTTTGGGGGAAGGGGAGGTTTGTGCCCACATTAACTCTTCTCTGCTTTCCCCCCCACAGTCCGCTCATGTGGCAAAGCACTTTGTGGCCCTGTCCACCAATGCGGTAAGTCCTAGCCCCAGGGAATTGTGTTTGAGTGTAAGAGAGTGTGTGTGTAGCTCAGCCCCTGTGTGTAACTGTCTCTCACCCACTTTCTCTCTCTCTCTCACACAGACGAAGGTGGCTGCCTTTGGGATCGACCCTAATAACATGTTTGAGTTCTGGGATGTAAGTGTGTGTGTCGCTGGCGATAACCAGCTGCTATCAGTTTGCTGCCGGCGCTATTTACAGCCCTGATCTTTCAGCAAAGGTCAGAGTGTCTGCTGAAAGGTTACAGTCATACTCAGGTCTGACTCTGGGGATGACATCAGTGGGGGTGGGGGGAGAGCAGTGTGTGAAGGGGTAACAGGGAAGGGGGCTATATGTGAGGGGGTTTGGATGTGTTCGGGGTGGAGGGGGGGTCAGTGTATTTAAGCACTTTCTCTCTCTGCAGTGGGTTGGTGGTCGCTATTCTCTCTGGTCGGCTATTGGTCTATCCATCGCACTGCACATAGGTACGTACCAACAGTGTTAAGAGGGGTGGGGGGGGGTCAGGCTGGGTTGGTGGTGGTGGTCAGGCTGGGTTGGTGGGGGGAGGTCAGGTTGGGTTGGTGGGGGAGGTCAGGCTGGGTTGGTGGTGGTGGTCAGGTTGGGTTGGTGGGGGAGGTCAGGCTGGGTTGGTGGTGGTGGTGGTCAGGTTGGGTTGGTGGGGGGAGTTAGGCTGGGTTGGTGGTGGTGGTGGTCAGGTTGGGTTGGTGGGGGGAGTCAGGCTGGGTTGAGGGGGTTAAGGGAACGGGACCCTGGGTGGAGCCAGTGTCTAACGGTATTTTTTCGCTGCAGGATTCGAAAACTTTGAGCAGCTGCTGAAGGGAGCTCACTGGATGGTAAGCTCACAGCGACGAGGGCGGGTGATGGGGGTGGGGGGATATGGGTTATGGAGGCAGGGGTTGATGGAGGGGGCCGGGGTGGTGGGCGGATACGGGGGGTTGGGCTGATGGGGGGGCTCTCAGTGTGACTAACCCCCTATGTTACAGGATAACCACTTTCACTCGGAGCCGCTGGAGAGGAACGGGCCGGCACTGCTCGCTCTGCTCGGCATCTGGTACATTAACTTCTACAAAGCGGATACTCAGGCGCTGCTGCCCTACGACCAGTACATGCACCGCTTCGCAGCGTACTTCCAACAGGTACTCGCTCAATCCGGGGGGAGGGGTGTGGCAGGGTGTCAGCATGTGAGTGCCGTGGGGGACGTGAGAGTGTCGGAAGGGGAGGGTTGTGTGCAAGTATTGTGGGGAGGCGGCTTTGGGAGGGGTTGAATAATATTCTGTGAGTGAATTAAATACTTGGTTTCCACCCCGTTATTTACATGTGGAACGGAGACAGACAGCTGCTGTAATGTTACTTTTAACACAAGCTGCTAATGAAATGATCTCTGTCCCTCATTCCTTTCTCTCCCCACCCCCCCCAACTCGCGCGCTCTCCCCCCAAACTCGCGCTCTCTCCTACCTCCACACTCAAGCTCTCTTTCCCCCCCACTCACTCTTTCCCTAATCTCACTCTCTTCCCCCCTTGCAGGGAGACATGGAATCCAACGGGAAGTGCATTACCAAACAGGGCTCTCGGGTGACGTATAAGACGGGCCCCATCGTGTGGGGGGAGCCGGGTACCAACGGGCAGCATGCATTCTACCAGCTCATCCACCAGGGTGAGAGCAGGGGCAGGGAACAGGGTGATTGGTGGAGGGGGGGAGGGCGTAGCTCTTAAACCTCAGTCAGGCGGGGCCGGACGGTCAGTAACACAGTGCAAAAATCTCCTTTTTCTAGGAACCCGAATGATCCCGGCCGACTTCTTGATCCCTGTCCAGACCCAGAATCCCATCCGGAATGGCCTGCACCACAAGGTACTGAATTGGCAATGCCTCCCCACATCTCTCCCCTCCACGGCGCAGGGTGTGAATGGCCAGTGTTCAGTCGATGAGGACTGACACTGACTCGGGGCCAGTAACAAACAGTGTCTGTAGAGAGCTGGGCAAATCCATTTTGACAGTGTCCCCTCCACACACAGTTACTTTACCCCAGGACACTCAACAACAACAATTTGCATCCTTTGCCACCCTTCCCAGGGCAGTGCTTGATGGTGAATAAGGAAATCAATGTCTCCCCCTGCTGGTGGCCTGTGGCATCGCATGTAATTTTTGCCTCAATGAAGAACTTGCTTTTTTGTCACCTTTTGACCAATTTATCCAGGGATGATGTGTTGGCCAGGACGCCGGGAGACTCTTCTCTTTTGCAGTGGGAGCTGCTGTCTGACTCTGTCTCCTTTCTCAGATCCTCACAGCTAATTTCCTGGCTCAGACGGAAGCCCTGATGAAGGGGAAAACCGAGGATGAGGCGCGGGCGGAGCTGGAAGCCTCTGGGATGAGTGGGGAAAAATTGAAGCAGATCACTCCTCACAAGGTGAGGTACAGACAGACATCATCCTCTTCTGCTGCGTTTTGACACAATCTTATCAAATCAGCCTCGGTGTGTTTCACAAGCAGAACAACCAATTTTACCCGGGGGATTATCAGCCAGGACACAGGGACAAACTCCCATTGTTTTTCCAATAGTATCACGCGATTTTAGCATCTACCTGAAGGGCAGTTAATGTTTCATTCAAAGGATGGCGCCTCCCGACAATTTAGTGCTTCCCCCAGCACTGCACTGGAGCACCAGCCTAGATTGAAATCGGAGTCCCGAACTTGTTCTCTCTCACACATTCTCTCCCTCTCTGTGAAGGTGTTTGAGGGAAACCGACCCACCAACTCCATTGTCTTCAAGAAGTTGACCCCGTACACGCTGGGAGCACTGATTGGTGAGTGTGAGTTGGGTGATTAGGGATTGTTTGTCTCTGATTCTCTTGCTGGGATGGGGAGGGAAGGGGGGATGATGGGGAGGGAGGTGGGGCTGTTTTCTCTCCCCCACTTACTGGAATGTAACTGGAACCTCATCTCCACAGCTCTGTATGAACACAAGATCTTTGTGCAGGGAGTGATCTGGGACATCAACAGCTATGATCAGTGGGGGTAAGTGCTGACCGGGGGGGGCAGCGAATAGGGTCTGGCTGACCGGGGAAGAGAGTCAGGGTGGCTCACTGCGGTGGTGGGTACGGTGGGGGTGGAGGCTGGCTGAGGAAGTGGGGTGACCGAGAAGAGGATGGGGTCGGGGGGAGGGGCAGACTGTAGTAACTGTGTTCTGTGTTGGCTGCAGTGTGGAACTTGGCAAACAGCTGGCAAAAGCGATTGAGCCGGAACTGGCGACTGCTGACCCCGTCACATCACACGACAGCTCCACCAATGGGCTGATCAACTTCATCAAACAACACCGGGCCTGACCTGGTCCTGGCCGGTCTCACCCCAGCTCGAGCACGGATCCTGCTCCTGCGCTCACACACGTGTTGTAATTAGTTGTCTGTAGTCTCCTCCCTCCCCCCCACCGGGGGCCACTGTGTGCGTCTGGTGTCAGTATAAACGGAGGCTTGAAGCGAGCAGCACACACTAGCGCCCGCACTCAGGTCACCGCCTCACGGTTAGAATGTGGTTTCACAGCTATGAGCAGCTTCAAATAAACCTGCAGCAGAACGTAATGTAACTGCCGGCTCTGTTTCCTTTCTGTCACCCCCCACACACTCTCCTATCCCCACCCCTCCTCCCCTACAGAACACCCACCACCTTGCAACCCCCCCCTCTCCTCACCCTGCCCTTCCTGTCACACACAGGCTCTGTCTATTAACTACAAAAGGTTTTTATTGAAAAAGATTATAGAATGTCTGGGTTAAACGTCACGGTAACATTTACAAGTTTAATAATTTAGGTGATGATCGTCTCGGCTTTTATTATTATTATTAAGATAAATAAAAATCTAACTAGTCTCCCGCTCGGCAAACCAACCAACCAACCGCCGAGCCAGTGAACCGGCACCAGGACCGGGAGTACTTCGGTAAGTGCCGTCACCCCGCGCCCCCCCCCCGTCACCCCCCCCCGTCACTCCCCCCGTCACCCCCCCCCGTCACTCCCCGTCACCCCCCCCCGTCACCCCCCCCGTCACTCCCCCCCCCGTCACACCCCCCCCGTCACTCCCCCCCCCCCCCCGTCACTCCGCGCCCCCCGTCACGCACCCCCCGCGCCCCCCCCGTCACCCCCCCCCCGTCACCCCCCATGTCACTCCCCCCGTCACCCCCCCCCGTCACCCGCACCCCCCGCACCCCCGTCACTCCCCCCCCGTCACCCCCCGTCACCCGTCACCCGCCCCCCCCCCGTCACCCCCCCCGTACTCCCCCCCGTCACCCCGCCCCCCCCGTCACCCCCGCCCGTCACTCCCCCCGTCACACCCCCCCGTCACTCCCGTCACTCCCCCCCGTCACTCCGCCCCCACCCCCGTCACTCCGCCCCCCGTCACTGCGCGCCCCCGTCACTCCGCGCGCCCCCCGTCACTCCGCGCGCCCCCCCCGTCACTCCGCCCCCCGGTCACTCCGCGCCCCCCCGTCGTCACCCCCCCCCGTCACTCCGCGACCCCCCGTACCTCCGCGCCCCCCCCTCCCCGATGCCGGGGCCCGTCACTGGGGGCAGGGAATCCTCCCCTGTTAACCCCGCAGCCAGAGCCCTAACGGGTGGGATGGTGGAGCTGATATGGAGCGAGAAAGCTCATCAGACAACGCTCTCTCTCCCTCTCTCTCTCTCTCGATGGCAAGTGATGTGGTTTTGTCAGGTTAGGCTCCAGCGGTCACCGCTAGAGCCCCCCCTGGGCTCCCCCAGGGCCCCCCCCCAGGGCCCCCCCAGCCTTGGCACTAGCCAACCTGCGGCTGATACTTTCCGGGATGCGGTGTGTGGGCTATTCCAGCAATCCGGCGGATTTCCATGTGTCGGTGGATGTATGGAATTCTCAGCTTGGTTTGGAGACTCTAAGTGATGGGTTTCCGCTCGGTCAGACCTTCACTGAGCCACGGGCTGACTGCCTCCTGAGCTGTAATGTTGGAGGATTCCATCCCAAAACTTCACACAAACCGAGTCAGTCCAGTTTCTTTGTGACGATGCGGTGGTTCGGAGTGTGAGTGTGGTCGATGGTGTGGGGGGAGTTGATCTCTTGGGCTCAGTGCTACAACATGAAGATACAATCCCTGACCATCTGTAGTTTAGTCTTCACTGTGAAGACTTGAATGTCTTCACCAACTCTGTGAGGAGCAGGAGTTTAGGCTCCCAGATTTGATGGGTCTGGTTGATGTGTTACTGGTCTCGGCTGAGGTTACCAGGGAGGGGGGATTGGACAGGACTCCTCTCCTCATCACTATCCAGACCCCCCCCACACACACACATATACACACAGGTCAATTTCGTTGGTCATTAGCTTCATGGCTGTTTGTGGGACATTGCAGTGCACAAATTTGCTGCTGTGTTCGCCTTACAAAATGCAGTCACTACACTGTAAAGTAAAGGTCACGGCAGCCAATTGCACACAGCAGTGTCCCACAAAGTGACGTAGATCGAGTGACCCAGTTTTTAGGGGGGGGTGGGGGAGATCATGGTCTAACTAATCATTTATACAAGTTGAGCATCATCTATTTGTTTATATTCTCTGCCCCTATTTCTAAACACTCAGATCTGATTAACTTTCTTCACACCCATCTTCATGCCTTTAATGGTGTATTATGCTAACGTTTGGTCTGTCTGCTCTGCTTTTACATGTTTACTATTTCACATATACGTTACATGCTCACTCTGTTCTTCCCTATAAATTAACTTTTTGCGTTAAAATTCATCCATCATCTTACTCCTTTCTATGTCTGTGACCTGCTCACGCTATATCAAGCTGTCCTCTCCCTCCGCTCAGCAGGTTCCGGACAGCTCCATGTGCTCGGCCCACCCCACCATCAGCGGTCGGGCCTTCAGCCTCTATGCCCCACTCTTTGCAACACTATCCCAACAGTCCCGCTCGCTCGCTCCCTCACCTCCTTCAAGGCACATCTCAAGACCCTCCTCTTTGACTGTGCCTTCAGCCTCCCTGCTACCCTCCACCCCTCCTGTTCCCAATCCCCAGCCCAGGTCCAAATCCCTGATGCCTTGGGAAGTCCTCCCAACATGAAAGGCGCTATGTATATATAATTTGTTGTTGCTGATCTACCGATCTGTCTGTGTCCTCCTGAAGTTCTCACAAGCTTGTTGCTTTTTTTTTAGCTAATTTCCTTATTTTTGAAACTTGTGCCCCTTTATTACCAGAATCAAAATCATTGATATAAATACAGGTCCTAACCTTGAGGGAACCACTGTTTACATCTCTCCAGTCTGAGGAACAAGTACATCTCCCACTCTCTGATTCTTTTCCTTTAACCAATTCTTTATCTTCGCTGGCGCCTCTCCCATTAACACCTCGCACTTAATATTTTTTACCTTGCCTTTTATGTGGCACCTTATTCAAGTCTTCTGAAAATCTTTACTTCCACATCTTCATGTGGGGCTTCAACCGAGCACTCCTGACTCAGAGGCGGGAGCACATCACTTTATTCTCTTGGTTATTTCATCAAAGAATTCTGTTAGATTTGTCAAACAAGATCAGCTTTTAATAATAACAATGATAATCCTTGCATTTGATAA